GTGTTTTTTAGAAAGCAATTCTGGAAAAACATTTAAGTTATTCTTTGTGAAACAGTCTATAATTTACTTACGATATAAAAAGAGCCTTTTAAAATTTTTGACATTATACCACTGTATTATATAAAAATTGTTTAGTTACTGTGACATTAAAAATTGCAGCCCAGCGTTGTGACAATCATATTTTAATTTTAAATATTACTTTCAGAATGAATCAAAATATAAATTTATTTAAATTCTTAAAATATGAGATCATGTGGATATTGTACCCCTTAGAGCAGTGTATTTTAACTGCTGGTCCACAGAAAAATATTCAACTTACTGAAGTTGGTGCAGTTGATTATGGGTGACATTTGAATAGTAATCTAGAGTTATTGTATGTACTTGATATATTATTGAGTTCCGTTTATTGTAAGGATCAGTTCTATACCAAATTTATCACTATATAGTAAGATAAAAATTTTGAATGGTAATCACGTGGCTTCTGGTCCAGACTGGAGGTCTGTATATGGTTAATTGGTATCTTTCCATATCCGGTGCTGTTTTTCATCTATCTAACTCCATTCTTTTGATTAATGATGGACAGATGACATTGGAAATGTACATTTAACCTTTTTTAAGCTTACATTCTTATAATGCTCATAACATTGATCTTCCTTGATACATATGATTTGGTTGATGACATTTCTAAATTTCAGTTAAACCTACATTTTTGACTAAAGAAATCAAGAATTTAAGCTTATTTGAATGCTAATCAGATGTTTTATCTCTAAATAAATATAACAATAATTTATCAATATTAAAACAACTTTCTATCTTTAGATAATCTTGAGTTATGCTAAACAGAAAAGATAAATATAAAAAGTCACTTTCTTGGAAAAATGTGTGTTGACAAGGTACAAGATACTGAAAAACTTTCACGGCTAATCAACTGCTTCTAAAAGGTAACTGTAGTGTATCTTTTTATTGTTTCAAATAAAGTGTGTTCCATGTAAAATCAGCCCCACTCACTGGAAATGATACAAGTGGAGGATACTCATCAGAAATCATATTTTAATATTATTTAAACATACAAAAACTTACAGGTGCTAAAACTGGTGTCTGTATGCATCTATGCACCTTTGTGTATGTGTAATCATGTTCAGACTGATGTTATGTAAAATACTTAAAAGCTACAATGCTCCTGAGAATACTTTTCATCAGTTTGTATATAGTTCTGGGATTGGTCTCAAACACTTTTTTCTTTTAAATATCCGTTATAAAATTTACCTCTTATGTTTCATCATCATAGTCTGGCTGATTTTAAATGGAACATTTTGTATATGTTATTTTAGATATACATTTTATTTTTCTGGTGGCTATATATGGGAGGGAAAATACGGTGACTGGCCAAAACAATTACCCCCCTAAAATTTTTTACATTTTTGGACTTGGGAACCTTGAAATGTCAAGAAGTGCAAAAAAAAGTTGGCATTTTTTGTTTATATATGGTAGTGTGTGTGTGTGAAGGGCATGATTTTGTTCCCCCACTTTGAAGCTTAATTCCTTTATCTTGTCAAAAATTTCTGAAATTTTGCAGGAAGGTTTGGGTATTAGAGGGATTGATGCTATTAAATTTTGGTGGTTAAAGGTCATGGGGGTAAGGAAGAGGTTGTGTTGTAACTCGAGTGGGTCGGACTTAGTAGAGATTTTACTCATTATTAGCTTTTATTAATTATTATAAAATGGCAAAAAATTTAATTTTCAGGGTAGAGATGAGTTTTATAAGAAACTGTAATGTAAAAGTTTTTAAAATAAAATATTACAACAGATAATATTTTATTTTATCTAATGCTACACATAATTTTAAATTTTTTGCTGGGAAAGTTAAGCAACTTATTGCTGGACTTTTGTTTTATATCATAGGTGGCAAATATTACTTTCAGATGATGTTATTTGATTAATATGTTTCTATATTTTGTTACTTTTATTTTTTATTGCTATTTTGTTTATCATTTCATATTGATTTAAATNTTTGTTACTTTTATTTTTTATTGCTATTTTGTTTATCATTTCATATTGATTTAAATATTTTAATGTACTGTAAATTTAAAGACAATAAGTATAATGATAGTTTCAATATAAAAACATTTGAAACTATTTTGTTTGATTAATGTTCTCATCGAAAGTATTTTCTGTTTAGATTTATTTTATAAATCTGATAACAGAAAATACTTTAAAATACATTTTAAATGCTGCTGATGATGCAAACATTTTTAATGTAATGATTTGATTATTTTAAAATTTGTTAAGCTGCAGTTGAGAGAGAGAAGCACATTAATATCTTATTTGATGATATTTATTACTCTAAGTAAGACTCATATTTCTGACTTAAGTAAGCTTTAGACATTCATTGAGAATATAGATTCTAGGATAAATGTTGATTTAATTTGTTAAGTAAAACAGTGCAATAATAATGATAAAATGGTGTCAAGCAAATTTTACTAGAGTTAAAATCTCATAACAATGTTTGCATGTTGTCATAATTTTCTTTAATTAAGTTACATAATAAACTACAAGACATTTTTAGTTAATCAATACCACAGAACATTAAAAACTGTACAACATATCAGATAAGTTCACAAAATATCATAATGTAACAAGTTACAAAACATACTGATACCTACAGACTGACAAATCAGAGGTTGTAAGTCATACCGATGCAGCAGCAATATCTTTGGACATTACATTCAATGTTCAACGAAAGTGACAAGAATCAACACATTACGACGACACGATTCCATCGCTATCTAGTTGCCGTCGGAACCGAACACTTAAACGTCCGACACAATCTGACCAACCTATGACACTAAATTGTTACGGAAATTAAATTGCATCGGGAAAGTCATACAAATTTTCGTATAAGAAATTATTAAAAAATTGTTTCGAATAATGCATTGACAAAACAGTTGATCGGCAAAGAATGAGATTTTAGGAACAGTTTGTTTGTTTTTTTATTTGGTGTGATTAACCAGATAATAAATATGTAGAACCATTCTTCAACACAGTCATTATATCCATTTTCATCCCTTGACATGTAATGCAAAATAAATACAATTTTTAAAATATGAGGTAGAATAAAACTAGATATTAAAAAAAAGTTTGAAGATTTTGTTTAAAAATATTCACTAAAATACAGAAATTATTAATACTATTTAGTCTAAAATATCTCTATGCTACTATATAATTTATGCATCAGCTAATATATCTTACTGTATATTTTTAATTTTTAAATAAATAATCAAATATTCTCTGATCAGAAAGCCCGAAACAATTTGTTTTTAGTATTGTCATCCTATTTTAGTATCTATATAAATGGAATGATCAAAAATAATAAATACAATGCCCAGAATGCATCACACTTTTTAAAGAATTTTAAAGCGTATTTGATTTTTAGTTCTAAAACTGTTGCAAAGATAATCTGTAAATGCGATACGACGATAAGACGTGCCGCGGCATGCGCGCCCAATTTAAAAATTCGTTGCAACGGACGACCACATTCTTAAATGGGGAAAACATATGATGGGAGTCATAATTTTGGCAAAAGTCAATATAAGAGAAAAATAGAAAAGTACACAGACGTAAATGATGATATTGACAAGCAAATTGTCAAAACACTTTATATATATATATAATTTTTTGACAATGACAATAATATTGGACAGTATAAAGACAAGCTGTCTCACTATATGGACTGGACTTGGTCTTTATTTTGTAATAGTCCATTTTTGTTTTTTAATAGTTATCAGCCATTAATTTGATAGATGCTGATAAGAATTATATCAAAAAGTTTTGTCATTTAAGACTCTTCCTCTTTACTATATACATAACCACTTAGTTTTACGCACTTGTGGCTGAGAATAACCTTTCTTTTTAACTTGGTGAGCAATTACCTAATTCTATTTGTGTCAAACCGAAAATAATTATTATTTCTATTTTCCTATTAATAATCACAGTCTATTTTAGTAAGAGTAGTTTATTTATGTTGTAAAACAATTACATAAATTTGAATTATTGCCTAATATCAGATTTGTAATGTTAAATCTCTGGTGTTTTTTTTAATTATGCTAAGCAAATTTTGTTTTGGTTTGAAAATAATATAATTTTACCTTTGTTTATTCTTATGTCGAAAGACTGCAGTAATTTATTATATAAATAATGCAAGAATATGGTGTATATTAAATTATTAATGGTAACACGAAAGATGTAAATAATAAAGTATTTAAATTGTTGACAAGAACAGGATAAATACAATAATCCAACAATCCATTTCATATATATAATTCACATCGTTTCATTCTTTTCTATGCCACTTTGACATCGATATATTTCAAAATTACCATTATATTGTCTCTGCAATCCGTGGAATGTTCACGAGGCAAAATACTCTGTTGTTGCTTCTTCGATAAACTTTTCACGATGGAATAATTGCTGCATTTGTCTCCGAGACAGAAATAGTTATCTGTTTATTTTTGTAATAATGTGGAAATATGAAACACTTGTTAATATGTATGCAGTGTTGACAGATGTCGTCCTTAGGCAGATCTTCACGAGTCGATTTGGACCAGTAGCATTCGGTATTTGAGTGCGTATGTACAGTGGCGGCGTCCGTCGCGGGCAGCGTCCGAAAACCACAAACTCTGGCCCAAAATAACGCTTGCGAGACTCTCAACAGCTGGCAACATCACAACAATATGCAGCACTTCACAAAGACAGGAGGCAAGATTGAGCAGTGTCTGGAAGTTGATCTGTTCATGCTGATGGGTATGTTTGATATGTCACATCATTTGGATGAGTGCCTTGACATTTCTGTCAAAACAGAACATACATGTTAATTATGTAACACAAATCAATTCTTAAAAATATCTCTATATATTATCAAAATATTTAATTAATTTTACATTTTGGAATTAATACCAAGCATATACTAGAATTGATGATGGAAATAGAAGAATACATATAAAAAAAATTCACAAAATTAAAGACTATACAATAAAACAGTCTTCTTTTATCCTTTTCTTACACTCGTGGCTCCACACCATAAGTTATAATATTCTAGTTTGTAGCTTCTTATCTTTTCCTGTTTCTGAATTCTTGTCCTCATTTCCACTTGGTTGATGATTAATGTTCTGAATTGTCTCATGGGGAGAGAAAATGCCCAAGGGCCTAAAGGGGAAAGATAACGGTTTTTGGACCAGGACAGAGAGTTCAGACTGGAGGAGACAATGGAAAGGTGAGTTTGATCCTGACCATAACAAGGGACTTAGGATTCTTGTTGCAGGAAGCCTTCAAGAAATTTTTGAGTTTCAGTTAATCATTGATAAAGACAGTCTGCTTTGATCCCCACAGGAGGATACATTAACCTCCTCAAAACGAAGAACAAGGAAATTTCACTGAGAATCATCTCTGTAAAAGAGAAATCAACAGAGTACAGGTACCTCTTTTTTTCCCTTTCCTTGTCTATTTTAATTTTCCATTTCATCTCTCTAGTTACAGTATTAGTTGTATGGAAATTTTGTAGTACATAGTTGTGCCCATTCAACAAAATCATAAGACATGTTTTGTCTTGTTGTGTGAGTCCACATGTCGGGTCTTTTTTTTTTTCTTGGGCAGAGTTGGGCAAATGCCCTAGAGTTGGCATCAAAATTCTTTTTTCTTTTGTGCATTGTGTTATCATGTCTTAATCATATTATATTAATTAAGAAATTAAATCAATTGTTGTTTTATCACCTTTATGGCTATCATACACAACTGCAGTAAGATTTTTTCCTACCTTTATTTAGAGGCTTCTTGTCTGCCTCAATATGCAAAATGTTATACGCTTTACATTTTCTTAATTGTGCTGTCACCAGAGGAAAGCGTGTAACATTTTGCATATTGAGGCAGACAAGAAGCCTCTAAATAGACAAAAGTTCGCTGTTATTTTTTCTCTCAAACCTCATAAAAGAAGACTCTTATTGTATAATCTTTACTATCCTAACCATTTTTCAAATAAAAAAATTGTTTTCTGAAGTTGAATTCAATTTAGAAAACTTTTACAATCTTCTCTCTTACTTAACTTTAAAGAAAATTTAATTATTTTAAAACTTAAATTTCTCTTTTAAGCATTAATGACAGATCACTTTTGGATCTGGGAAATCAGTAGATTTTGAAAAAAATTGTCAATTTTAGATGCAATATGCACACATGAAAATTACTATTTTCTCAAAAACTAACATTTTTAATTTCAACCAAAACCTGAAATACCTTGAATGTTTGATATTCAGCAGGTGGTAGTTGTAATCACAGGAGGTATAATGCTTATCTGTGTTTGTGATGCCAGAGTATTTTTAATTTCTTACTCGATAGCTCAAAAATTATCATAGTTTAGATAAGAAATTACAGTAATTTCTTATCTACATGTACAGTTTCAGTTTTCTGGTACATTTGGTGTTTATCGTCATAGTTTAATTATTTTCTGTTAAATAGAATGTACAGTACTTATATGAAATTATAGGCCTACTTGAATTGTAAAAGTTATACCACTATGTCAACCATGTGACATTTAATCTGCTACAAAATTTTTCACCTGCTTAAAAAATTCCAGAACAATATGACACTCCTTGAAGAAAAATGAGAGCTAAACAACCAGGCACAAACTATAAAAATCCTACACTGGTACACAATCAGTTACTGGTATCTACCTTCAACAATATACTGTCATATGCCTCACAATTAAAATTAAAAAATGCACTTTTCTAGTGTTACTATTTGTGCTACTGTTAAAACACATCATTAAGTGTGGTTGCAGCATGACTTCTATATTTCAGTGCACTGACAGACAGGTTAATATACTTTGCATGCTTTTGTGACAACTACCACTCTTCATGTAGTGAAAATGTCATCACGAGCAGCTATCACTACACATCGCTGCATTATAGTTTAGCTCAAGCAGAAAGCATTTCTAAAGTTAGACACCATAATCTATTCTTTAAGTAAAGAACTACAAGATAACAAAAATGAGATATAAAGAATTGAGCATTTCTCTCTTCAAAACTGTGAACAAAGCAAAGAGATAGAAGATGAATAATTATTGTAATTGTATTACAATAATTATTCATCTACGGTACTTACTACATTTAAATGTAATACCATCAGCCATGTTTTATGTTTACTATTTTTTGTGAAGATGGCAATAACACCAGAGGACTTTTTACCATATTTGCGTTTTATTGTGGAGGCAGTAGCCTCAAAAGAAAGGTTGCCTCCGTGCTTGTGAATGACGGAAGAATAACAGAAGCAAAGTATTTACTTTTGTTAAATGTTACAATTTTATACAATTAAATGAATAATTATCTTTAGATGACTTTCATTTTAGAAAATTTAATCTTTCTTAAAGAATGGGAAAATAATATATCTTAATCTTTCCATAATATTTTTTTTTTATCAACAGTTACTACAACTTTTTTATTTTCACAGCATAATATTGCATTATACATGCAAAGCAAAATGGATACTTGTATGCTTAGTGGATGTAAAAGCTGCAGCAAACATTTAGAATGGTTTGATACATGACAGCAAAGTGATTGAGCAGCAATGCATAAAGAAACGTGACCTGCGTATAAAATTTTGCCAGAGAGCATTGTGAATGAATAAGGAGAACTTGTGTGTATACTGTAGCAGAAAGGTAGTAAATTAATATACTTTCAAACAAAGAGTATAATTAATATTATTTTTAGCTGAATAATATATACTAACTCAAAAATCATCAAATTAAACAAAAACTTATGGAGGGACAACAAATATAGAAACTGTGGGTGAGTGTTCTACACAGCTAATGCCTGCAATGACTATCAAATGTTTGAGGTATTTTAAGTTTTGGTCAAAATTAAAAAATGCTAATTTTCTCAAAAACTGTCAGTTTTTATACATATGTGGTAGTTGGCAACACAGTGCTTGTCCACCATTCCCAACCTATGTGATGTCCAACCAGAAGAGTGAGGTTAGCCTCAGTCTATGTGCTTTTGCTTGGTCATGTCTTAACCTTGAGACAATGTTTGAGGCACGAGGTGGACATATAGTTGTAAATTTTGTATATACATAAGGATATAAACACTTCAGCAACTGCCTGGGAAACATATTGTCTTGTCTGATTTATCCAGCACAACAATGATAGTATGTGTGGATGTGATTGGAATGATCCCAAAAAGAGGCACACCATAATAGCACCTCACATACATGAAAATTACTTTCCCCAATATCTACTGATTTCCTGGATCTGAAAAATGCATTTCTGCTCTCTTGTGAGACCAAGAAAATGAAATCTGTAGTATGCAAATAAATTCTTATGTTTCCTTGGCTTTTTTCACAGAATCAAGGCAGATCATATATCAAAATTTTCTGTTTTGTTTTGACAATAACGTTGATCAAGAATTGGTGCAGTTTGTAACAAATGCTATCACAATCTTTCTTGACATTTTATATCAATCTCCCAAAATTAATTGTGGATAACTATACTACAAGTCCAAGAACTTTGCAATCTGTTTCTACTTTTCCTACAAGTCTTTATGTATTGAATTAGTGAAATGTATGTGTGCTTAAAATGATACCTTACTTTATGTAAGTTTGGAAATAAGGTTTCCAAAAACTACAGAAATAGATTAAAAAATAAATATTCCTGAATTACTGAAATTAGTACTGAGAGAGTAATAAATATATATAAATTTATTTACAGGTAACCCCCGTATAACATAGAAGTTATGTTCCAAAAAATTGCCATGTTATGGGAATCCCTGTTATACGAAACGAAGAACTAGTGCGAAAAGGGGGTTAGGTTCCAAAGATAAAAAAAAAATAATAATAATAATAAATTCGATTTAAAGAAGGATTTTTTTTAATGGGTAAAATACTTATTTAAGTAAATATTTTACCAGAGGATTATTCATTCTATATGATGATCTCATCATGAGTCATTATCAACTGGTAACAGTTTGTGGGTGCATTCGTTAATAACGGTCGCTCTACAACGGGAGTGTGCTGCTGTTTGTAGGCATTTGGGAACGACGGTGAAAGAAACAAAGATGGCAGGCCGGCACTATCGATAATATTGTGATGGAGGAATCTATAATTCTAAATTATGAGCTTTTAGAGGCAAAAGAAGGGTCCCAATTGTAAAATTAACTATTAAATAGATTATTTGTTGAAAGACTATTCAAAATAGCCACAAAAAAAATTAGAATGCTCACGTAGAGGTATAAAAGAACGCACCCTTTATTACATTTCATGTTGTACAAGGGTTTTACCCAATTCCCGAACTGTGTTTGAGTGAATCTGTGCTATAGAAGTGCTGTGTTATACGAAGGTTACCTGTATGCATAATACAGTAGAGTCCCNCTACTGATTTCCTGGATCTGAAAAATGAATTTCTGCTCTCTTGTGAGACCAAGAAAATGAAATCTGTAGTATGCAAATAAATTCTTATGTTTCCTTGGCTTTTTTCACAGAATCAAGGCAGATCATATATCAAAATTTTCTGTTTTGTTTTGACAATAACGTTGATCAAGAATTGGTGCAGTTTGTAACAAATGCTATCACAATCTTTCTTGACATTTTATATCAATCTCCCAAAATTAATTGTGGATAACTATACTACAAGTCCAAGAACTTTGCAATCTGTTTCTACTTTTCCTACAAGTCTTTATGTATTGAATTAGTGAAATGTATGTGTGCTTAAAATGATACCTTACTTTATGTAAGTTTGGAAATAAGGTTTCCAAAAACTACAGAAATAGATTAAAAAATAAATATTCCTGAATTACTGAAATTAGTACTGAGAGAGTAATAAATATATATAAATTTATTACTAATTTTTTTTTTTCATTAAAACAGTTTGTCGGATGATTTTATAAAATTTGAAGAATTTTGTTTGTATTAATACAAACAAAATTTTTTAAAAAATAAAACTGAATAAAGGTAAATCAAATAATCAAGTTTGTCAAACAATGGACTATTCAAATTCAACAGTACAAATGACAATTTTAGTTTTTTAAAGTGTTTGTTGATAATTTTTTTATAGTAAAATGTGTTTGATGAAAATAACATATTGTGTTTTAGTTTAAATATAATTTAATGAATAATAAGATATTTCATTAAGAGATGAGAAATCAAATATAATTACCGCTTGTTTATTCTGCCATGTTTTCATTGCACTTTTATATTTCTCAAATTCGTTACACCAATCTGAGTAGATTTTCCGATATTCTGTTGCTGAAGGTGCACTACAAGTTTCTAAAATGAAAAATAAAATTACGTGAAAATATGTTTCATGCAAATAGAAAAAATTTCATTTTATATGCCACTTAATATTACAAAAAAAAAAGAAAATTGTTGTTTTAGATCGACTTCAAAAATGATCATTATGCAGTAGTAGTAGTATAGTAGTATCATCATCATCATCTTGATAACAATTGATTTCATTAAATTATAGCTTTTAATTTTAGAAGAGTTAATTATTCTCTTGTTCAAAAATTAGAGTTGCTTTATGCTTTGCTTGACTTATTAATCTGAAATAACTCTAAAAATAAAATTATAAAGTAGTAACCTTTTATTACAGGAAAAACATCATTACATGTTACATATTTATGACATATAGTAATGTATTAAAAATGAGTTTTGAATTAATTTAACACTTGAGGAGCTTTATTAATGAAATTAATGTTTTAATTTATAGAGAAATATAAAATTTAATGAGCTTAACAAGTGGGTTATTTCATATGTATTTACAAAGATGCTCAATAATGAAGTGTGTTCTTTTTGGATTTATTATAGTAATGTTCTGACTATAGAGATTTCAAGTTGACATCAAGAACATGCGCAATTGTCCTGTATCATCTTTGTGGTTTATTTATGTTTTATTTGTGTTTATGCACACTTTAGCTGGAGCTCTTGTGTTTATTTATCTCAAATATCACTATGGTGACTTGTGTAATTGGGTGTAACGCTAGTTCACTCAAGAAAAAGGAATATCATTTTTTTAAATTCTCGGCATTACTTGTCACCAAGAATACAAAACTGAGAAGCTTTCATGTTGAAGGCAATTGCATGGCTCTTGAGGATTAACCGGAAAAATTTCAATACAGATAAAGTGAATGTCAATACACAAGTTTGTCAGAAACATTTCATTTCAGGTAATCAATAAATCAGATTGCTAGTTATCAATAAACTTTTGCACAAGTATCATAATCATTTATCTAAAGTGTGTACAAGCCAGTTGATAAATTCTTTTGTTATTACTGTCAAAATAATTTTAACAACTGTAGATTGTAGTTTGAATAGATAATGATTGTGTTCTAACTTTATTTTCTTAGTGTCTGCTGTGTATGTATTACAAGCAGAGTTTAATATTAAAGTGTTTAGCAGATAAAGAATTAGAAATCAATTGTCCTTCCAGTCTAATTTACGTAAATAAAAGTTTGTCTATTAATTTTTTTGCCTCTGTCCTTACACAAAGACATAATTAAAATTGAATACAGTATATTAATAGGACTTATTATACTGGTGTTGTTTCAGTTTTTGCAAATAGAGGTCTTATTCAGAAAAAAACAAAATATTTATTTTTCACCTGTGTACACTGTTTTTGTGTTTTGGACCTTAAGGCCCCTCTCTTCAGCAGGTTTACAACAACAAAATTTATAAAGCCTTATTAATAAATTTTGTTGTTGTAAACCTGCTGAAGAGGGGCCTTAAGGTCCAAACACAAAAACAGTGTACACAGGTGAAAAATAAATATTTTGTTTTTTTCTGAATAAGACCTTCTCTATTTGCAAAAACTGAAACAACACCAGTATAATAAGTCCAATATACACAAACATTTTTAATTATATCTTTGTCTATTGGTTTATATCTTAAAAATAATTTTGATTGATCACTTACAAATAGCTAAGTTATGTTATTGTTGTTCACCAAAATAACTTTTCACATTACTATATGATGATTATTTGTTACTAATCTTCAAGTTTTTCCTGACAAATTTTTAATATTAATAACCTATTTAAGATATTATTAATACAATATTATTATTGAAAAAGTTTTTTACTCCAAAGGAAAACCTTTCTCATTTTATAATGAGTCATCACCAGCTGAGTGGCCACAACCCAACTGCATATCAGGAGTGTTATGAAAGAGCACATAATCAGGTGAAATCCAACCACTTGTAAGATAGTTATGGACCTCTACTTTGTAAGTTTTCACAAATGGAAGCTTACAAATCTTTAAAGTGTAGTAATTTCTTGTCAAAACCAAATAATTTATGATGTCACCAAATTCTACTTTAAGTCACAACTCTTGATCTACAATGAAGATGCTAGCTTCATATGGATTGACACCTTGATGTAATGAAACTTTCTCTTTATATCATGGACAATTATGTTTAAATAGAAAAAAAGCACTGCCAATCTGTCAAATAACAAATTAGTTGCAAGCTAAGCAAGTGAAAGCTAGACCATAAACTTGGCAAAGGAGTGGAACAAATGTGCGTTTTATCACATGACAAGTGTATGTATGGTATAATCTGATAGAGATGTTTTAAGGTCATATGGGTGAAAATGTTAGCCATAATATGCATGTAAAGTTCAAGCATGATGTTATGCCTTAAGACAAACCAGAGAGAGAGATTTTTAATATAAGTGAGAATGTACTATATCTAGTATAATATTCTAATCTGGGAGTTCACAATTTGACTATGGATTTTTATGAGAAATTTAGAATTTGAATTTCTAGGATTTAAGTAAACCAAATGTCTGGAATTAGCTTGCTTTGTACAAGAAAATAAAGGAGAAAAGAATTTAATATATCAAAACATATACTGCAATTTTTGGTATATAATCTGAAATGGCATATATCCTGCACATTTGAGACAATCATTGAAAGCAAGATAATGCTTGTCATTTTAGGATACTGTAATTAAAATATTGCCTTTGTTTCATTTCTATTAGTTCTTTATGTATATCTACAATAATAACACCTGAATTATTTGGTCTATAGTTTGGCTAACTGTTTAAAAAAAAATATCGTAATACGAGCTAATATAAAATTATGTTAGTGTAAGGTAGCAAGCTAACCACTTAACTAGTAATTACAATAATTTTTTAATTTAATTTCAATTTTGTTATTAAATTTATGATAATATTACAGAAAGGTAATGTAGTAATCCATTTACATTAACTAAACTAACATTAAATATTTTATACAAATAACTATTGACCAAGTGGGCATTAGCAAAGATAAGACATCTTCAAACATATGTTAGTTCATGCACACACAAAGCTTGTGTATACTGAGAAATCCCTCTGGAATATTGAAAAATTTGCTCCTATACTTCCTGGCCACTCTTATAATTCAATTGTAGGTGTTTATAAACGGTTCCAATTATGTAAATATGATTTAACTTTATTATTGCTAGAAAAAAATTAATTTTTTCTGAGTATATTTTATTAATATTACTGGACAAAGGAAATTAGTTGTAAAATAAAAATGCTAAATCATACTCCGTGACAGTCAGATAAAATAATCATGAGTTAAATTCCAATCATAGAAAATAATTTGAAAGACAATTTTAAAATTGGTATATAAACCAATTTTAAAATTATCTTTCAAATATACACAACTAATGAGTTATCTGTCCAAAATTAAAGTACAGTGGAACCTTACTTTATGAGCATAATTTGTTTCAGAATCTTACTCATAATGAGAAACACTTGTTCCCATATAAATTAATGTAAAATACAATAATGTGATCCATGCCGAAAAAATATTTTATGTATAATGCTTATTCAAAGAAAATTAAAGATGAAGCATGAATCATCTTCATCTTTTCTTCTAGCATGGAATGAATTCAATTTGCAGAAAATAATTAAATATTAAATCGAAACACAGTAATTTCTTTAATTGCAGCCTTTACACAGCCCAAGAATTTGTCATATTATTTAGCATGTGGTTGTCTGTTTATTTGTAATATGTCTGATCACAAGCAACACTAGCACTCGTTCCTCTAGCATCTTGAAACACAGACTGGGCCCTTAGTCTCGAGTTTTTCGTGTTGTACTCGAATTGACGTCATCGAACTCACTCGTGTTACTGTGACTCACATAATCGGTAGTCTCGAGTTAGACCCATCAAGCGAGCTCGAAAGGCAAGCGGAAGTAGGTCATATTCACTTGTTTACGTGTATCGTTAAGCATGATGGGATTATTTACAATGCATCTGGGTTTGCGACTATACTGATTCGACCAATCAACTTTACTGTAACAAGTTGTAAACAAATCAACGTGAATTAGTTTACACGTGTTATAGTTAAAAGTTTTGTCCTATAGCAAAATGGAAACCTCCAATATTTTATTTTAAAAAAGAAACGAAGAACAAAAAGAAGTATTAGTAACATATATAGAAAATAATAAGAAAACGAACAATATAAAATTCGACAACGAATTTACAAGAAAAAGACAATTTGATTTGTGGAGAGAATTAGTTCTAATTATGTATTGGAGCTAAAAAATCCGCCGTGTAATGGAAAAAGTATTTTAATTTAATCCTTTTTTCATATAGTTTTCTTCCTTGATCTCGTATTAAATTGTTTTGTTTATTAAGATTATTTATTAATCAGAACTTAACACTAATGATTAATAAATAATCTTAATATAGTGTCTATGCTCTTAATAATTTATACATATAATTTACTATCATTATAATTCTTTTTGTCGATGAATAAGATACTTTTTATTTTTGGAAAAATTTGTTATATAATTTTATCAATTATGAATTAAAATTTTTTATTAATGATGACTTGACATAAAAAGAAATGGCATCTACTCGTGTTCGAAAAATTCGTTGACTTCTTAAACAACTCTTTCGGCTCTTTCTAACGCTTCGATTGCCATCAGAATAGCGTATTTGTCAGCCATTTTCACTTTCGTGTAGCGATCTCACATGCTTGACTCAACGTGAGTAGCAACTCGCATGGTGAGATGGGAAAGCATGTGAGTTATAACTGGAGACTACCGATTTGACGTCAGAGTGTGAGATGGTAACACGTGACACCTTCAACACGTTGGGAGTTGTAACACGAAAAACTCGAGACTAAGGGCCCTGATGTAGCATGCACACAATCGGGACTTCCCCTCTGCTTGTCGCTCATTAAGCGAGTCATTTTTTCAGAATTTGCTTTGCTCCTTATGAGAGATGCTTGTAAAGCGAGGTTCCACTGTAGTATGGAAAAAATCCCTAAAGTGCAAAACAAACTTATGTTCGTTATAGGAAGGATTAAATAAGTGAGAAATGAAAAATTGTTTCAAGAAAACTTATTCATTTGGACTTATTGAAGTTTTAAACATCCTTCTATTAGAAAATTTTACACTGTGATTTCTGATGTAAATAGGGACACATATATTTGAAATATGTGAACTGATTAAATATTGATATAGGCTAACATAATGTATTTTATAAGAATAATAAATGACATACTTGCATCCACGGTGATGTTAAAACTACACAATGTGCTGGTACCTAATTTGCAGTCATATCTGCCACTATCTCGTTCATTCACAGATAAGATGACAAGACCATTGTTGGCTGTGTGAATGTATTTATCTCTATGTTGAGAGACAAGATATTTTCCTTTTTCTCTACTGTAGTGAAACCATTGCAGCATTCCCATTCCTAGTTCTTCAATTTCTGGCATGTGGATGGCACAGGTCAAATGAAGACTCTGACCCCAATACACATGCAATGGTTTATTTTTCACAACTGTAAAATAAACATAATATTAAATTTGTTAATTTTTATACTTGTTAATTTCATAAAAATGATAGAACTATACAAAAGAATTTCACATGTTACTATATCTTAATGTTTTAAAAATTATAAAAGGACTTACAATTATCACAGATTCCAGGTGTTGCGTTTGTTACATCTTGCAATAATCTGTAATTAATTTTTATTAAAATCAAATTATTTTTTTATTGTAATTATATGATACATTATGCCTATGAAGATGAGCCAGCAAGGCTTAAAAACACCCGTGTTTAAACATTTCTTTGCAATAAATTATTATAAAACACAAAAATAATTAAATATTTACAATCAAAGCAAAATTTAAACTTATAAGAACATTGAATTTAATATATCTCCAAAACTCAATTTATCAATGTTGTATTAAAACAAAGTACAGGTAGTCCAAATAAGACCTCTAGGGTAACAAAATTTTTGAAGTTGTACAATTATATTTCATTTCAGATAGCTGACACAAGTTCCTATAGTGTGGAAGAATGGCTTATTACAAGTGTATGGATTCATGAATGTTCACAAAGCATATGCAACAGGACTTCTTGATAAGATTTAACAAAGAATTAAACCCCTCCTGAAATACATTATTGTGACAAGAACATAATGTTAATCCAGTCTTGAATAGCTTATGCTGTTTATGGATGACATAGACTTTTGACCACTCTCTATAAATAATAATATCTTAATGTGGAATTTAATTCTTTCACACTTTTAGAATATCTTTGAAATGTTAACAATTTCCTTTTGGTAACACAAATTTGATTGTAAATATTTTAATCATATTTAATGTCTAGTATAATTTCAGAAAGTAGCTTTTATTTGAACTTCGAAATGATTGTATATATACATGCATGTTTAATAAAATTACATTATCATCTGCAACTGTAATTTGCAAGATCACAAGAGAATAACATTTTTGTCTTTTCAATTTCCATTGTTCAAAAGAGAGAAATTAGAAATTATAAAGCTGGTGTGAAAAATTAATTTTATATTATTTTCTAGAAATCAAAGTATGTATGCACATTAAGTACAGAATGGAATGATAGTTTTTCTGATAATTTCTTTTGTGCTTTAGAATATTTAATATAAAAGAATAAAAGTAGAATTTAGTAAACTCATATGTTTCTGATAAAGTAAGCCCATAATTTAATGATTACAAGAACTACTGCAAATATGTTTCCAATTTTTTAAATTCAAATTTAAGTAATGAAAAACAATTTGCTAGAACTTTCATAAAACAAATTACATAATAATAATTTTATGTATAAATTTTTCAGTCAATTTGTATTAAAGTTGAAGTATTTTCAAATTATGCTATTTTACAAGTAAAGAAATGAAATAATGAATAGATTTTCTGAAGTAAATTATTACCAAGGACCAACATATATAGTGTTAGTCCTTGATTTTGCAACAATCCTTATTTAGTTTCAGTTTGGAATAGAATTTAATTAATTTTTTTAAAATAAATGAATAAGGAGTTGGAAAAAAAAATGCACAAAATAATGCTTTTTTTAAATGAATTCAGGGTCATTACATTTTTCAATTATTTCAAATTATAATAATATAATTAAAAGTTTATTTAAAAACTATTCTAACAATTATTTTTCTTAAAAACATTTCCAGCCACCTTTTAAACAAACGTGACCTCTTTCAAAATGAGTTGATTTTTCAATTTCTTACAAAAATTTTTTTTTAAATGTAATGCTAAATAATTAAGAAAAAAATATTTCTACATAGATTTTATACTGTGTAATTTAAATTACATTCAAAATACTTACCCAGTGACAAACTTTTTACATTCACCACGTTCTTTGTCCCATCCACAATAAGGATCCTGGATACACCGGAGACAGTTTTCATATCTACCTTTGCACATAATGAGATCAAACTGTCGTAACACAGAATCTGATGCTACATATAACGATTTATGCTGTAAACATTGAAAAATATCAACTGCATAAAGTTATCCCATATTTAAATCTTGAATTATTTTATATTCATAACTAGTTAATTTAAAATTGTTTCAGATATCATTACAGAAAAGTAAGTTGACTTGAGACATTTTAATTTTTCAATTCAGAAAATTGAAAAAACACCATTGTGTGTAAATGTTTGTTTTATATATCAAAATGACAGCTTTGCAATATAGCTATGTAAATTAATGTTTTTGAGCTTCCATCTCCAATGAATAAAAAGAATTCCACTGAATATGGTTCAATGTTATTCATATAGATTATCTCACACCTCAAAATATAATGTTTATATTATTTTCGATGATGTAAAAAATAGATCAATTATTTTATTGTCATTCGTGTTGAAAAAATTTCAAAACTTTACTTCTGTACTTTCTAGAATTTTACAATATTATGGACAAGATATGTTAAAATGCATCCTGAAAGGATGAATAGATTGACTGTTTGTAATATATAAATGGCTTGCTGTATGATATGTTTTTTGGATTACAGAGTGGATTACAAAGTGTGTTTTTTGGATCCAAAAAACACTCTTTGGTAGACGTAACAGTTTTTTTGATACACAGACAATATTATTAAAAATATGCCAGTGTCAGAATTACTATGGAAGATTTCTTACAAACAATTATACCATGTTTTAACTTGTTTTAGTGGTAATCAATTTGCATACCATCTGAGATATTTATTATCTCAGATGGTATCAAAAAACTTTTACATACATATGTCAATTTTTACTACGTCTGTTATATACCCATTTGTAAAAAAATTTTAAATGATTGTGAGTATTATGGAAGTTTGTTTGTTTGTGAGTATGTTGGAAGTTATGGTTGTTTAATTTTAGATGTATATTAATATGGAATGCACAATTTTTTGTGTTTAAATACAGGTTAAGGATGAGGAAGGTTTGCCCTCCCAATCCCTATTTTGAAAAAAAAAGAATTTTTTGTAATTTATATAATGTGGAAATGTAAGTGGTTTTTATGATTTACTTTGTTTCTATGGTATAACATAGTCATGTTTTAATATTTCTTGTTTATTTGAACTAGCACTGAGGAGGGGATGGAGTACATTATACCAACCCGAAATATATTTGTAGTTCAATGGAAAATAAAAAATAATTTGCTAACCAGAAATTGCTGTGAGATGCGTCTACCAAAGTGTGTTTTTTTGGATTACAGAGACAAATTTACATTTGAATGTTAGTAACATTAATTTATAATTTAGTTACAAATGGGTTGAAGCTGCTTCTTTAAATGAAAGTATTAGAAATGAAAAAAGTAAATGAATTTATTTACATTAAATGTTAAATTAAAATAAAGGATAAATTAATTAACAATACATTGTTGAACAGCCAGCTTAGTAATACTGACTGACATTATCAACTGAAGGGCTGAGTGGAAAATAGTATATCCCACAAACTACAAAAAATGAGTTAGTAACAAATTTGGATTTGTGTATCTTCAACCCATCATATAAGAAACTTCCATGATTCAGTTACATGTCCTACAGGTTGTACTGTACAGTACATCCACATTAAAATGCTGGTGAATTGAAACACAAATCCTCCTTTTTCTTGAAAACTTTGTAATGTGGGATATGCAGTTTGTCCAGTCAGCCCCTCAATTTCAGAAGTGGATCCAGGGATGGAAATGGTGGCTATTATTATTTTTATTATAAACACAAATTTCATTTATTTTTTAATAAAAATATTAAAATAAACAATTTGTTTAAGATAAAATATACATAAGTAATTGTTATTTTAGCTTAGAATGTTTTTGTTGTTGGGAAAACAAAATTCACCAAAAGAATGAACTCAACAGCTGTATAAAATGATAGTGCATGCTTTGATAATGCAATGCAAATACCAGCTCTCCAATGCTAGAGATCTTTTTCACAAAAGTTGTCTGTATCTGGGAACTTTTGAATCGCCCCAATATATATATTCTTAAAACTAATATCAGACAAATGTAAGATAAATTTCTACCTTGTTTGATATTTCCATTGCTCGGACTGGTTCTGGTATAGTTGCTTCAAATATATCCACCAAATTAGAATGTTGTTCGCCTGTCCTGTCATACCATTCAACTAATTTATAAACTAATCCTTCACCTATTATCAATTTTAAAAAAGAAATTAATATTTTTCTAAAACTTTCCAATTTTAAAATATTAAAAAATATTTTCTAATATATTATAATATAATTATTGTACAATATTTTGATATAACTCTTTATTTGCTTATTATTAAAAAGAAGTTGAAATAGTTTATATCAAAACTCACCTGTGGCAATTTTTTGACATTTAATTTATTATAATATACTTAATTATTTAGTTCATATCAAATTTTAATGGAAAACTCATTACATATCCTATATANAAGCAAATTGCTAAGTTTGGATTTTATAATTTCTTTTAATTTTATTATATTTTTAGAACTAAAATATAGCAAATTCTACTAATCTAGATTAGCAAAGTTGTCATTCTTAGTTTACCAGATTCCTGAATTGGAATACAAATGCACAATGGTAATTGTTATTTGGGGAGGGGCATTGTGACATTGTTCATAACTTAGAATAAATATAAAACATTAATCATTTTAAAATTTAGTAAAATTTAATAATGTTAAAACTGTACTTACTTGTACCAGCATGATAAACTGTGTAATGTACTCCGTCCACTTCTATTTTGTCAACTACTAGCCTTGTAAATATTACATCTCTCTTATAAAATACAGGTTTATTTCCATCTTGTGCTACAGCTGAATCCATTAATGGATGTCCACGAATAAAGTTTAGTACATAATCTGGAAGTGTCTGTGTATCGTTAACACAAATTCCTGGGCGAGGCTCTGGAACCTTGCTTGTGAGAACTGGTAACCAAGCAGATGATGATGTTGCTTGATCTTTAAACTTCCCATTGAAAACTTCTTGAATAGAGCTTAGACTAAATGTACAAATTGCAGATCCCATGATACCATTCCTGTAAACAAAAAAACTAATTTTAAAATGTTATATTTTGAATTGACAAATATAATAATAATAATCAGAGACAGAGGCATAGCTACCGTGGAGCAGTTGGAGCAAACTGTTCCAGGTGTATGAATCATGAGGGTGCCAAGTTTAGAAAGGGCAAAATAAAACTTTGTAAAAAGATTTGTAAAAAATTTTTGGATTTAATTAATCAATTAAATATTAGATTTGAATCTGTTTGACATAATATATACATAATTATTACCTGCATATCTTGTTGCATCATCTGATAAAAATATTCTGGAAGGATAAGAGTTGTTACAATTGGCAAATCCTTCCAAAATTTCGCCTAGTTTTGAACCTCAACTGCTTCAGTTTAAAATGTGTTTTTATACTCAGGTAAATAGAAATTACTTCTATACATGAAGTTGCTGAACTACTATTAATTCACATCGCAGCATCAAGTACCTTCTCCAACATTATTGCAGCATACCTCATTTTTTTTAACTTTACTGGTGACGACAGCAACAGGAGAACGAAGTTTTTCAAAACTAAAATTAATCAAAACTTATTTAAAAAGCAGCATGTTACAACACCGTCTTAGCTCTGGCTACCATATCAATTGAAAAAATAATAGCTTGTCAACTTAATCTGGAGAAAGTGATTGACTGATTTGCAAACAAAAAAGCAAGAAAACAACCACCTTTAAGTTATTTTTATGTATTATAATATATTTGTTATGAAACTAAACTTGCATACATTTTGTCAATACAGTTTATATACTATGTAGTATATATTATTAGGTACTCTGTACTTAAAGAATTGTATATTGTTTTATTCAATTTGTTGTTGTTATATTTATATTTATTGTTGAATCTCAAATAAATTAATAAGATATTAAGTAAGGTTTTAAATTGAAATTAAATGTTCAAAATAAATTTTGTGGACCTCCTCAGAGGAAAAAGGAGGTGCACTGATTCTACTTGCTTCAGGGTGCTGAATATGTAGCTATGCCACTGTTCAGAGAATAACATTCATTAATTAGAATATACTTACATACTACAAAATTATATTTTAAGTTTTGAATATTTAAAACAATATATGTAAATATATAAATTAATTTACTTAGAATACAAAGTGAAATATATAATTCTTTCATGCATCCTGTATCAATTTCCAAACTATAAAAATGCACCTTTCATTACATTGAATCCTAACTAAGCATATTGATTTTATTGTTTACTTATAAAATTTTTATACTAAAAATAAATTCTGATCCCAAAAAGTTTAAAAAATTTAAGAAAATTATTTTATTTGCAATCTAACAAGTTTTATAGATATTAAGTTCTAGATTTAAATACTGAGCTCTTAAATGTGTGAAGTTTGGACATCCTGTGGTGGCTTACTGTTACTTGTCAAAAGAAAGATTACTGAATCAAATAAGAAATTATTCTATATTAGTTTTAATCAATATTCATAAGGAATATGTTTGTACTTTTCCTAAATCCAAATTAAGTAACATATCATGTTATTGTTTCCTTAATGAAAATAAAGATTTTTAAATAAATTTTAAAGATGTCTTAATATCTGGTTAATTATTAATTAAGACAGGCTTGGCTGATAATAAGGGACTTTTTCTAACCCACTTGAGTATTAATGGATTCAATTTACTAATGAAATAATATGGTTATTGATAATATAGATTGTTTCAGGACTGAAAGATTAATGTGAATCTTTACAAGTTGATTGAATTTTTGTTCAGAAAAATAATTTATATATTTTGAATGGTAGGAGATGTACCGTGGAATATATCTTTCTTTCCTCAATTAGGAAATTGGTTATAGATTTTATAATTTGTTCAGAATCCTTGATAAATATGTTGTGAGTTTTGTAGTTCTAAGTATTGATGTATCTGATCATTTTCCTATTTGATTTGATTTTTCTCTGAGTTACAGGAATGTACATATACTTTAGTTTTATTCAATCTGAGATGAGTGTAATTTCAGAGCATAGTTATGCAAACTTGATAACATTATTGTATTCCTATAAATGTAAAATTTTGGATAATCAGAATGGGTAGGATGTACTGCAAAAAATCCTTTATATGAAAAGAATATTTGTTTTATAACTTACTTTTTGATGTGAAAAGGATAGATAAAACACACAGAATTCCTTTGAACCATAAGTATGATTGAGGATAAAACAAAAATAATATGAACCTTTGGTATCAGCTTTCTTCAAATTATTTAGTGTCAATGTTATTTTTAAGTTACTAATACAATGGTTATAATATGTATATTTAGTATTAATATAGCATTCATGTTTATACTTTGATATATATATATATATATAAATCAATATTCAACAATGCACAAGTTAAAACCATTTCATTTTAATGTATGTAATTATATTTTGTAACTTACACTGCCCCTTGCAGCAGACAGCCAGATGGCCGAGTGGTCAAGGTGGCAGCCTACTGCTCTGGGTGACTGGGGATCGAATCTGGACAGGTCAAGAAATCCCCAGGAATTTTTTTGGGGGGTGGTCTATTTGGATATGTTGGGCCCCATCCCTCACCACCCAGTTGCCCCATAATGGGCCTGCTAAAAGAAATCCTCTTAGTGCCCACAGGGCAGAACCCCTTGCAGCAGGAGAATTCCCTATTATAAATAAAATTGTTTCTAATTCTAATTATTATTTTTTTAATACAAAAAAGCACATTTATAACATATTAGAAATCAAATAAATAAATTCTTAGTAGATTATTTTTTCTTAAAATTTTAATGAGATTATATTCTGAGAAGGAAAAAAACTATAACTGAAACTTTATGATTATAAAAAATATTTTAATTTAATTACAGATAATTAACTTACATTGAAGTGGAGAAAACAGCATAAAATTTCTGATCATCTTCTGGATGTTTGTAAACATTTTCTAAAATAAAAAATGTTAAAAATTATTAACTTCTGTAATAAAAAATCAATGTTATATATTGTGATTTAAAACATATTACAATACTAGAATAAATATGCAACACCAGATATAAAAAATCTAGTAACAAGAATTGCATAACTTTCCCAGCTGTTATAAAAGTTTTTATTAAAAAAACTTGCATACTGTAGCAAAATTTTATTTTTGCTTAATAATAGAAAACAGTTAAGAGTCAGCCTACAATGAAAAGTCATCTCTGCAAAAGAAGACTGTTAGTTCCTGATGTTGGAAACGGCAGAAGTGAAGATATTTTTGTATCTTCTGTACTTTATATATATAAAAAATAAAATTGTGTGTGGCACCATCTGTTATAAAAACTTGAGTTTTATAAATTAGCAAAAAACTTAATCTCTATCCTCAAAATTATAACACAGTAAATGCTGTGTTATAATTCATTCAATGTTCGTTCATGTCCTTTCTTTTCAAACAACCAACCATTGCCATTCAACAACAAAACATTATGGAAATATGAAACATATTTCCATAATGTTTGAAGTTGTCCGGCAGATTAAAACATTAACAATTCATCTGTTATTCACAATTTACAGTGTTGTGGTCAAAAGCCCTCAAAAAACAATGATTAATCAAAAGCAGTGGCACTGTGGGCAAAAAGGACAATAACCTGGGCCCCCATCAACAGGGAGCTTCAAACCAATCTTTTACAAGAAAATATTTTCCCAAAAAAATTCCCTCAAAGAAAAATGAAGTCAACACTGTACATGGGGGCCCCTAATTCAAATTAGCCTGGAGCCTCATGAAACTATAATGCATCATTGATCAAAAGTGTTATTTTCAGACAAGTCATATTTCTGCACTGGTTTTGGTGATAACAGTCTTATGTATGGCATTGAAAATATGAAGCATACAATCCAAGTTGCATAAAGACTTCAGTTAAGTTCCCAGCAAGGATGACTATTTCAGATTGTTAATGCTTGTATCTACCAGTACCATTGGTAGAAAACAATGATATATATCAGAGTAGCTTGGAATACTTCATGCTACCATCAACTGAAGATCTTTTTGGAGCAGATTATTTTGTGTTCCGGCATGATTTAATCCCAGCTTATTCACTAAAAGCACAACACATCATCACAATGTCATCTTGGTTGGACAACTCTCTGATCTTAATCCAATTGAAAACTTGTGAAATATTGTTAAAAATCAACTTGCAACCAACTACAGTCAATAATCTGAAGATGATGCTACGTTTGTGGACTCAAGAACATCCATCATTCAGTGCCAGAAGCTGATTCATTCCACACCTTCTGTATAAAGCCATAAGTGCAGCCCATGGAGGACCAAAGAAATACTGACAACTGTGCATTTTGATGTCTATCCACATTTATTAAAACATATGTATTATGATTATACTGTTAAAATGAAATGATTCCGTTATCCTGACATAGGTGACACATTATTCCATTGTTTTTGCTGCATGAGTTGAATGATGGAAGTATCAAATAAAGAAAAATAGTTTGTAAAAGTTTTTTCAAGGTGCTTTAAGACAATACATATTTTTGTTTTGTTTTTTAAATATTTATTCAAGTTTGAATAAATGTATTAGGGTGGAACATGATTCAGTCTTTTTTGTATTTTCTTTTTATGATCTGGTGTTGTAAGTAATAACAAGAGAACAGTTTCATATAAAAAATTTACAAATTTTAATTAAAGTATAAAATAATATATATATAAATTATTTTAAAATANCCTTACATACTAAATTATTTTAAAATAATGATTATAAAATACAATGAAATTAACCATTTTTAAGAAGATATAAAGTATATTTTTGAAAAACAAATAAATAAATTTCAAGAAATATAACTGAAAAATTTTTTGATTGTTAATAATGGAACATTAGAAATATTAGCTAATTAAAAAACTGAATTCAATATATACATGTAAAGAAAATTAGTAAAAATGGAGTGATAATATATCTGATTTTTCTCATTCATTATCATATGATTAATTTGGCATTACTGTATTTATATATTTATTCATTACCACAAAAGTAGGAAATGCTGACTGGCTGTATATCTCCATCCCCATTTAACAAAAGCCCAACTACAGTAAAAGGAAACACACAAAAATATGTAAAAACCCAACACTTATAAAAAGGACACATTTAAGCATGAAAAAACTTGACAGATAAAGAGTAGACACACAAAAACTTGTAAAAACACTGTAAACATTTGAAAATGTATAAAAACACTCATTATCATTTGTTTAATTTCAAAGTATTAATAAATCAACTTACGTATTTCGTTAAAATAAAAAGGAAATTCTCCTGGAATGGAGCAGTTTAATCGACCCTTCAGATAGGAAGCCCAATTTTTATTTAAAATAATTTTTCCACCTGTGTCTCTCTAAAATAGTAAATGAAATTAAACAAATTTAATAATATAACTTTTTAATTAAATCTATTATTTCTGAAAGAATTTAAACAGTTTATTTTTCTTCAAAATATTAAATAATTCAATTAAATTGCTTTAAACATTATTTTTGTTAATTTTTATGAAGCTTAATTTACTCTTTGTGAATAGAAATACATAAAATTATCAAAAAAAATCAAAATGTCAGTACTATATTGCATGTTGTGTTAAAGCATTTACTTTACTGTGGATTTAATCTTTTTATTAAGATATTGACTCAAATTACTTTAAAATGTTTTCAAAGTTAAACAATAAATCTTCATTTTAAGCCTGAAAAAGAGTCAAATGTCAGCAAAAATTTATGGTTTTATATGGTGATTTATTAATATTTATCATGTGATGACTGACATGGATGATGATTACTATTTATCATACAAATATAAATGGTTATTTTTCATTTTCAAACCTGTTTAGTTTTGATAAATAGTATAGTAAAAGTAGGGCACAGAATTATGAAAGCATTGTACCATGAAGGTAATTTTATTTTACATCATACGTATAAACATGAATTATGGATCTTTCACTATATTTCTTCAGTCTAATTCATCATCAATTAAATTATCTTCACTATATTGTATATTATTTGTTCTTGTTATATTAGACGTCGTCATTCTTATATTTCAATTATTCATTTAACACTGTAATGCCAAACCACTATCAACACTTACAGTATGTGCCTGGACTGAAATACAAGTTACATGTACAGCTGTTTGCAGTAGGTTCATTCAAAGACTATACAGTACTAAATGAAATTTTTTTTCTGACACTTAGATAATAAACAGTGTTAATAGTTAGACCAGCTTTTGCATCAGGCTTCTTCATGTGTATTAAGTGATGTAGACCTATAATTGCTGATTTACAGTTATATTTTTACAAAATACAGAGTTTGTATATCAAAAATACATTGAAAAATATATAAATTATCTTACTAAATTCTGGAGATTAATTTGTCAAGTGTAAGTCAATATATATTTTGTATGAATGCCAACTGTCAGTAGGATCTCCCAAACTATTCCAAAACTACATGAAACAAGGTCAATTCATTTTAAAGTGCTTTAAACAATATGTTGTGTTTAGTAACAAAGGGTTTTCTTATTCTGCTGTCCATGTTAATGGGGATAATGTCACTTTCAGACACTTCTATTTTGGCTACTTAAGAAAACAAACAAAATATATATATACAAGACGATCATAATTAAAATAGCCCTATCTATCTCAGCCATCTCACTTTTTTTGTAAACAACTTATAATTATATGTATATTAGTCTTTATAGTTTAAAGGTCGTTATGTGAAAATCAAGGCATTTGGATTTATGCCTATAACTGCAATTCACTATGCTGATTTCAATTTGATCATTCATCTTGTTAGACACAGGATGATTTTTGAGATAGCGTTTTGGAAAAGTAGCACATCATATAAGGTTAAAAATAGAGTAATTATAATATTTCTCATTTAGATTATTCATAAATTTCAAAAAACAATTTTGATTTAGTTTTTGATTCAACTATTTAACATAATATTATCATTTGTATTTGAATTTTATACTTTTATCATTTCATAACTATTTTCCCTACATCTTTCTTATTATATTAAAAAAAAAAAAAAACACTGATGGCAGGACTTGGTAGCCTGAAACTATTTGAGAAAATGGTATTAATTTGATTTAATGAGCTCTAAGAAAGCAGTTTTCTATATAATATAAGAAATTTTACAAATAATAAATAAACTACAAAGTTATTTTTAGAAAGTTATTTATACTATAAAGCAATTTTTGTTTAAAAATTTGTGAATCAGAATTATTCTGTAGTTTATCAAATTTAATTAACTTACCTTACATACTCTAGCTACTCTAGAATATATTGTCTTTCCACAGTTTATATATTCTACTGCACTCTCTCGAAAGAAAAAGTAGACATAATCCCCTATGTCAAACGAACCTACAAACTGTGGTTCTATAAATAAATAAATAAAATAAAATAAAAAAATTATATTTAAACTACAGAAATAAATATAATTATATTTCCTTATAATATCTTTAAAATTAAAATATTCTTAACATAATTTTCACTCCATAAACAGCTCATCAGATATGTTTGGAACTTTATGAACCACAATTGGCACAAGAACATTAAATTTAAATCTTTACTATGTAATTAAATATTAATAATTAAAATTTATGTATTCATACAATTTATAAAATACAAAACGACTTCTAATCTTAACACTGTGTTGAGTAATAACAATCCACAAAACCTGCACGATCGTCTCTCCATTTTTAAAGTATTCCTCTGTCCATGCCGTGCAGGCGTGGAGATACTTATTCAAAGAATTTGAACTGGGACAAGCGGAGGGGTGAAACGCGATACATGCATTATTTACATCTCGGGTGTCATTGTTCCAACAGTCAAGAGGAGATACCGTTTAGTCACTATCTGAAGAAGACCTTGGTGGAAGTTGAAAACATTAGTGAAGATTGTTACCAACACTGTTATAAAAAATTTTTTTGGATTGTTTATACAATACTATTCTGCATGCAAGAATCATTTTATTTTCTTTCCTTAATAAGAAAAAACTTTTTTCTAATCATATTATTTTTTAATATATATCAATGCTATTATATATTTTGAGACACCATGAAGTGTTGATACTAGACACTGGACTAGTTTTAAGAGTGCAAAACTTGTGTTAGGCAGTATATGGCTGATGTTCGATGTTATTTGCAATGTTATCTGTACTGTATGCAAAATGTACCAATGTAAAATTGGAACTTGCAGAGTTTTGCAGAGGTAATTTTTAAAATGGAAATTGCACCAAGATTCTTTTTGTATTTTTTATTCAAGTTATAGGCTTTTAACTGGTTTACAATACACGATGGTGTTCGGTTTTATGTACATCAACAACACATTTACAACCATTGTAGAAAACTTATGTCAGCCAACAGATGAGGGATGCTAGCCCAAAATGCATATTGGCATTTGGAACAATTGGCTTATACACTGTAAAGTATATCAGAAAATAAAGTGGAAAAAGTCCACTGTCTATTATCAACACTTCATGATGTCTCAAAATATGATTTAAAGAAGGACACAGTTTCAACACTGCTATTTTGTTATTTCGGATATATATTTTATAACACTACTACTTAGTTTTTCTTCTATCATATTTTTTAAAATCATAAACTAATAATAAATCATCAGAGCAAGGAACTTACTATCAAGCCATTTTGAATCATATTTAATTGTCCTTTTAAACAGATATACAGTCTGACCAGTTGTTAAATTATATAAATTTGAACGAAATATCACTGTATCTGCTTTACTGAATTCAGCTACTGTACCACTGTATAAACCAGGCAGTCCACCAGGATTTCCATGTTCTATAAAAGAAAAAAATATTTTTAAAAGATAAAATAATAATTTGATAGAAGATTTTGCATTAAAATATAATCATTTTGTTGTGTTGTGATGCGGAAAAAATAATAAATTAATAATAACTTTTGTCTTGATTTATTATAGAAAAAATTATTTATCAGGAAGTTTAAATTTATAAATCATATTAAAAAATAAATAAAAGTAATGAAGAGAATATCAAATTCTCACAAAAATAGATGTAAATAAATACTAAATAAAATATGAATTCAAGATAAAATTATTTAATTTCACTGTAAAATTTAAAATATAAATTTTCAATAAAATTACAATAATAATAAAATCTTATTAAAGTAAATATCTTAATTTTTGCTTATTTTTATATATTTTTCAACAAGTTCTTAAAGAACATTTAACAAATGAAAAACATATGAAATTAAAAAAACATTTAAAAAAATATTATTTTATTAGTTCTTATAATCTTGCTTTTTAATTGTAAAGTATTTACAATTAAAAATTTTTCCGTAATAATAATAATCTCTTAACAAACAGAATAATATTAAAGATAAATTTATATTGGAATAAATCTTTATATGTAATCTTTAATATTATAAAGATAATATTAAAGATTTATATTTATTACTTAGTATAAACAAAAAGCATAAATCTAAGTATAAATATAAACAGTGCTCTTTTTTTGAAAAAAAAAATATTGCTAGTATGCATATTTGGTGATTGAACATGTAGAATTTTTTTTACTGAGCAACTATTGATGCTCCTTACGGGCTACTGATATTTTTCATGCTATCTACCAGAATGCTATATTGATATGTTCCAGATGAAAAATAGCACTAAATACAAGTAATAAATATGATTATTTTTGTAATTATTGAAAATAAGTCACTTACCAACCCAAACTGCAGTTGCATTATCTTCTGGATCAAATGGACATTTTGCTATACCATCTCCTATTCCAGGAAAATTCTCATTTTTTCCTAACCGAGTGAGATTAGCCTAAATGCAAAAATAAATATATTTATAAATGTTTTTGATCAGCTAAGCAATATTTGTTGCACAAAAATCATGATAGAACATTAATACATTGTATGGTATTTTTAAAATTAACATTGACTATGAATTAAGCAACTCAGAGTAGCACTATGAAAGAAAGACTTAGGCTTTTTCAACATAGCTTTACTCTCCAAACACTTGTGACCAGTGACTATTTACCTCTTTTGTTGACTATAACTTGTTTCAGACTCGATAATATCTACTGCTTGCAACACAAAATTTTGGTTTATATAAGATGCTATAATATTATATTCAATGTTTTTCCTTAACTATTTCTAACATAGAAAATGAAGAAACAGTATCAAATCGGTGGATAATTCTTAAAAATTATATGTCTCATCACTTCTTTTATTCAAGTTAATTAAATTACCAAATAATCAAGATATTTAAAGGGCATTTTATATATAAATGTAAATGATTGACTTTTAGGAACTATTCTATTACTTCATTCACTTACATTAATACTCATTTAGAATAGTTATTTCTTCAAAGTTGGAAATTCAAATGTATCATCTAGCAGCTACAAAACTAATTGCAAGATGATACATTATATATTGTTTTTATAACTTTGAGAATTTAATTATCTAATAAATATGTAATTAATGGTATTTTCTCTTATTTTGAATATTTTGGAGTTTTTTATGAGTCAAATATTAAATTTAAAATTGTAGGCCTGATTATATTTTGTAGCCTAGTATTGATTGCAGCTAAATTTCATCAAACCAACTTTTATATTTAATTAAAATTAGAAAAAAAGAACAAAATCAGATGTAATCAAAAATTGAAAAATGAAAGTTCTCTTCTCTTCCAACTAAAAGTATTAAAAAAAAGCAAAATAAACAGATAATAAGTATAAAATAATTTTTTTGAGATATATCAAATAAAATTATGATAATTTTTTAATGTTTTATTTTCATTATACTACATGATCAAAAAAATCATGTAATATAATGAAAATAAAATGATGCATTTTTAATTAAACCTAATTTTCCAGTACAATAAATATTGTATAGTTTTGCTGATAACCCTTACTAACACATACTTGCCAACCTTAAATTATAGGTGAGGCTGATTTGATAACTAGGAAAGGCTGAGAAATAAAAACACAATTTATAGAAAGATTGTAGACAAAAGTTGCAGCTCTTTTAGGCATTTATTCAATCTTTGTTCTCTTTATCACAATACTATGTTTATAATATTGGCTTTTCTTACTAGACAGATTAATAGTAGTAAAAAAGGTGCTTTATAATACAGAATAATAGTATATTGTACCATTAATAAGGATTATATAAAAAGTTAATTATCTACTGGAAAAATACAAAAATAAATAATTCCTTATAACCTTAAGTCTAAAAAATGTGATTTTGGCATGTGACTTAGATCTACAAGAACTTTCAAATTGGCTTTCTTGTACCAAAGGGCAGAAGCTCTCATACATCATCTAATACATCTATTTTGAGACAAAATTTCATATGTGGCAATTTTTAGAAAAAAAATCTATTTTTCATAAATAATCAGAAATCTAAAGCTTTCATTGAAATTCTCATTAGAGTATGGCAACATTGAATGCAAAAAAAATGTTAATGTTGGTAAGAGGACAATTTCTAAAAGATCCAGCATAGAAGCAAACTTGGCACTTTTAGTATTGATTGTAAATCCATGCTTGTGAAGACAATGCATTAATTAAAGGTGTGGTAAGGTAAATGTGTTAATTAAAGGTTTTGTCTATTTGTTCTTCTGACATTTTTCCTTGTTCTTTGTTCTTTCCAACTTCTAGAACTTTCTAATCTTAATTCTCCTTTCTTGGAGGTGAGGGTCACTTCCTAGAATTTACCAATATATTGTATGTGAGGTTACCCAAGGGCATAAAAGCAAAGGAAGGTTACTTTTGGGCTGTTGCTTGAAGAGAGAAGACCATGAAAAGAAAAGAGACTTTACAGTGTCTGATGCCTGAGAGATGGGTGAGGCTAGAACTTTGAAATTCCCAGGCCAAAGTTTGTGTTAGAGCTGGTGTGTCAGCTTGACAAGTCCAAACGTGCAACTGGCTATTGGGATCAAATATACAAAAACACTCCAGAACCAAAGAAAAGGAAGACAGAAGCAAGAATTTTGTGTTTAAGAAATTGCCACATGACCCCTTATGGTAACTGAACAACATTTGCACTATCCTGGTATTCTTTCTTATCCTATCTGCCACCTATGCTACTTCTCATCCTTTACTTTCCATTTCCTTCTAGGTATAAATTAGTATTAAGGATTAGTGTTAATAATTACAAAAATTTTTCCTTATTTTTAGTTCCTTTTTGTCAAATCATGATAATTTTTGTAATTGTTCTACCAACAATCAGATTTCGATGGCTGTTAATCAATATCTCTCTAGAGTTGGAATCCCTTTGTACCTGTACTTTTTTATCACATGTAATAAATTTACTTTTCCATCTTCTACTTCACGTGTCTTTTTTTGGGGTGTTTGTCTTCATTGGTCAATGAAACTCTTTCTTAATTATCACAGGTGTTATGTTATCTCTCTCTCAAAAAGGGAAAGATTTTCTAACTTAGGATGACAACTGCTTCCAAAAGTGGATTCTCAACCCAAAAGGCAGAGGGTTGGAAACTATGCTAATGTATATTCCACAGAAAATTGCTGGAAGGAAATACCAACAAGTTACATGCTTTCAACAGTCATGGTGGGATTATGGAAAAATTGTATGTAGTTTAAAAAGTGATATAGAAAATAACATTTTAATGTTTGAGATATTTTATTTCCAATGAAGATGTAATTACATAATAAATGAAACAGCAAAATGGAATACTAAAACAACACTTAATATTCCATAAACTATTAAACTTTTTATTGTATCATTTTATTTCTGATTTATTTATCAAATACAGTCAGTTATTAGCCCAGTCAGTTAGTAGGACACACCTCGTATTAAGACAAACATTCAAGAATGGAATCAAATCCTATAACGCAAGCACAATTTACTTCATCTACTGGCCTTGAAATGCCACTTGGTAGCCCTGCTGAAACAGTATTTTTCTTGGAAAACTAAACAAAAGAGACATGAATTTGGATATTTTTGGTGGTTTTTCTTTATCAGCCATCAGTCATGGGAATCTTTCCATTTTCTAGATTGTACTACAATGATTTTTTTTTTGTACAGAAATAATTTCTCATCATTAAAATGATTTTATTTTGCTCAGATGTTTGTTTTATTGCTATGCATTAACATAGCTCTTTAACATAACTTGTTATATCATATCTCAATTGCATAACTTATTGGGATGTTCATATAGTAGCCCCCAAAAAGCTCTGGTCCCAATGCTGAGCTATTAAGCAGAATCAACTGTAATAATAATTATAAATGCTAAAATAAACTTAAAAATGCTGGGAAAAATTAAATCTACTATATATATATATATATGACACTTAGAAAAAGTATCATAATGGTTTTAAACTACCATAAAAAAAATGGTGGCACTAAGAATCAATAATCATCAGAAAAGTTTTGAACAAGTGAGTGAGAAGGTGGAGCAAAGTGAGCAGAGTTGGGTTGAGATGCAAGTGGAGGCAGATGCTGGAATAAGAGGGGAGCAAAGTGAATGAGGGTGGGGTTGGACCACCCATCCCAAGAGAGGTTGAGCAAAGAGAGCAAAGTGAGTGTGGGGTTGGTCCAAGGAGTTGAATTATTGCAAAATTTTTGATATGAATAGTCTGTATTGGGAATAAGTAGGTAGGTGAGTAAAGTGAACCATGTAACCATGGAATTGAAATGTTTTTCTATTGGATGTTCAAAAAATCTTGATATTTGACCAATTCAAAAAGAAAATGGTTTTTGTTTTGAAATCTGAAGGTTGTTCCATGTTTGATTTTGATGGAAAAAATTGTTCAGATTTTTTTTATGTGATTTGAAAAAAACCTGTACTTTTTCAACTAGTTTGGGTATGAAAGTGGATCTGAACTTAGTTCAACAATATGTATACCTTCATCTGCCCAATGCCAAATGAGGATTCCATAATGTAATTAGACAGATGAAAGTATACATATTATTGAAATTTTTGTTATGAATAGTCTATATTGAGAACAAGCAAGAGGTCAAGTCATTGTAGGTTGCCAGAGGGCTTTGCCCCCAGTAGAAAATAGTTTTAATATAATTAATATCCAATGTCATACATTCAAGAGTTGAACACACAGCTTTTATTCACTGTAGAGAACTATACCTTATTCAACAAAAGATGTGCCTCCTGATAATGATAAAGATGGTAAAGATCTCATGTAATTGTCAGGTCATCCAACCAGGGGCGCCGCTAGCTGTTTGAACGCCTGTGTGCAATACCGATTATGCCGCCCCCTGTTTAACTACGATTACCTATGCTGAGCTTGCCAGAAAGGCTCTTTGCCGCCCCCTGGACGTGCCGCCCGCGTGCGGTGCACGCCTTGCACGCCCGCTTACAGCGGCCCTGCATCCAACAGAACATTGAAATTCTATTTTGTTCATCCAATTATTATTTATGAAATGTTACACAAGGATTTACTATACTATTGTGTTCTAACTTGAAAATTATTTAATATGTTCTTTCTCCAGATTTCTAACATACTATCAGCCATATTATCTGAAGAAGATTGTTATATACTGTCAAAAGTACTAGTCAATTAAATGTTTTTATCCATAATGCCAACAGACAGTTTTTAGATTTATCTTTTGTTATTTAATAATATTTTAAATTGGGTACAAATGTTATTTTAATAAATATGACATGGGTTTCTACATCATAGAGTTTAAAAATGAAGCAAACAAAAATGGTACAATAATTACATCATTTTTAGTTTCAATTTTATTAATAAGATTTCAGAAATTAATACTGTTCTGCATAAATACAGTGAAATCTTGTACAGTTAAGCTATAGCTAACATTTTAAATATATACAATTATTTTAATCAT